TCAGAGGCCTCCTTCGGTATCCGCGGGACGTTGGGCTTCGGGGGCTTGGGGAGCGGGTTGCTGGAGGCCGTGGGGGTCCCCCCGGGGGGAGCTGTTGGCGTCGCTCGGAGCGAAGGCTTGCTGGGACTTCTGAGACAGGATTGTGATAAATAATTACAGTTATGCTTGTGAGGGGGCTCTGGGGGTGCTGTGAGTAAGAACGTTTTAGGGTGTACGTGTTACTTCTCTAGAGAACTGCGTGTTCAATAGCTGTGACATTCTCTCTTTGCTCCTCTTTAAAAGGTTACCTTGCCTTCCTGGAAGAGAAATCGGATTAATCTTGTGATTTGTTTCCATAATGGTGAAGTGGAAGTACCTGAAGTAGGCTATGCAGGCAGAGAGGTAGCTAAATGTCTGCTAAGTCAGTGCCTGAACGTCATGCATCTCGGGCTTAAAATGAACAAATAAACTACAGGGCTTAAGGTTGGAATAGCCTTTAAAGAGATAATAACTGGCAGATGCTGAGGAAGGGTTAAAGGGAAGTCTAGGGTACTTTCTGCTGAAGTCACCATAGTTAAACGATCTTCTTATTGCAGTCAGGCAGTTTGCAACTTGCAGGGTTGCAACACCTACACTTGTTTAAAGCCAGTTGTGATGCTCCATACTTTCTGTAAAGAGGATTTCTGGAGATATAAGCAGGAACCTCCTCTGTCACTTGTTGGCACTGGGGCTGTGGATCTTCTGGTGAAGAAGGACTGATGAGTCCCCCTTGGCTGGTGAGGGCAGTGCTGCTGATAGAGGATGGGGACAGTTTTCTGGGTTCACTTCCTGCCCTGGCTGTCATAACTGCCATCCCATAGTTTATTCTAGAGCTTCAGTGAAGTCAGAGCAAGAATCAAGTTGTTCTGTGTCTCACTCGAAAATAATAAATCATCCTTACTGAAGTTCCATCACAGTGAAGATGGAACCTGTGTTTCTGATATTCTTTAAGATGCTGCAGGTTTTTCTGTGCCCTTCTGTCAAATACCATGAGAGAGCTTGTAGGCAGCAGCACGCTGCACCTTGCAGTGTGACTTGCAATGAGAATGTAGTCATTGTGGTACAAATGCAATACTTGACTCGCCTTTGTGCTTCATCTCTGTTAGCTGCTGGATGCTTCTGGCACTGCTTAAGGAGCTCTGGATCTGAGACGGTTTCTGCGTGGCTGATTTGGAGACTTTCTGTGCCAGGCCTAACTGATATATCAAAGTGAGTTTTTCCCTTAAGAAGGTTTGGTCTTGGCAGTTTCCCAGATGATAAACAGTTGTGATCCCTAGGTTAGATGAAGGGATAAAGGGGTTGATTTTAACAGATTTAATTCCTGGCTCTCTTGTAACTTCTGAGGGGAGATGTCCTCTAGCAGTTTAATAGATTTGTGTTACTAACAGAAGTAATACATGAGG